CACACACACACACACACACACACACACACACACACACACACACACACACATATATCCTCTTTCCTGGTGGTGTAGCCTACAAGACTATTCCTATCACGATGGCATTTATCCTCTCCCAAAAATATCCAAACACTCCATCTAGTCTTAAGGCATCCAGTAAAAAAAAAAAGAAAAAAGAAAATACAAATAAATTAATAAATACAAAAACTTCGCTGACATTACCTCGTTAAAAATGAAAACATTCCATCACTGGCATTACCCCGATGCTCCCCCCCCAAAAAAAATAAAAATAAATATAAAAAGGGCAGGAAACACAACACTATGCACCTTGCTTTCCTATTATTACCTAAGAGAGTTTCCTTACACAGCGTTACACCAACAATAACAACATCCAGGTGTAGCATCAATCCCCAGTTCTCATTGGGTCTGGGTGGAGGGTTAGCGAGGGTGGGGAAATGAAGCATATTTATTGTTCGGAACGTTCGCTTATTATCTAAACCCTAACCCTAATCAACTTTAAACCCAACGCCATAACAAAAAATGTAATTAATAACAAACAAATTCTCTCTAGCCTTAAGTAATCCCTAATTTTATCCCGTGTTGTTCCTGTATCGCGTAAATAAACAAATAAATGGTCTCCGTTGACGACGCGCCCCGGGCAATCGGTAGCCTATAGGAGAGCTTTGGACGGACTGAGGGTAAAAATCTCAGGCAGTTTTAGTCGAGTTTTTCGGTACCTGCGAATCGGTCTTGATGGATTTTCAGACTATCCTGCTAAATTCTCAAAGTCCAACTACATTTTCAAGTCTGAAGATTCACACTAAAATCACACCAAGTCCAAAGTGTCTCAACAAAATCTCAAAATTCTGAGGTGCCCAAGTAAATTTTCAAGCCCAAGGCATCCCACCAAATACTGTACTCAAATTCAAAGAGTCCCACTAAATTTTTCACGAGTCCTAGTCCCACAAAATCCCAAAAAATATCCCAGGTGTCTCATAAAAATTCCTGAGTCTCAATTAAATTCTCAGGTGGTCCCATAGGTGTCCCAGAGGTGTCCCAACATTAAATAATCAAGGGTCCTTCACCATCTCACTATCAAGTCACTCTGCACGACAACGAAGGCAGTTCAGTAGATATTGATTTTACCAATAAAATAAAAAAATAAAAAATAAATAATAAGAAAAAATTCCCACCGATTCTTTGTAAATAATAAAAAGTATGGCACAAGCCTCGGCCCTCAACTCTAATAGACGGTGTAATGGGTGGAGACGTTCCCAAACAGTTAGGTCAAAATAAGTGGAGATCGGAGGCCAACAGTCTCCTCGAATAAGCCCTGCCTCGACCATGCCCCACCTCACCTAAACTCCACCTACAATAGTCCAAGCCCCACCTCGACCTCGCCCAACCTCGACTACTTACCAAACACCATCCCATCTCTCCGCTGCACAGTGTCATCCATGTTGGTGGCACAGGAAGCGTCGACGTAACACAACATCCACCATCAGCCTCACACAGTTTGTACGTCATGACCCCTTACAGTTAAGCAACGTTTGCTTTAGTTAGGCCCTCAATCAGGGTTCGAGTTAGTCATGTGATACAGTATAGGAATCCATTTACAGTCTCCTTTCTTAGTTACAATACATTCCCCACTTTGTAATGTGCACTGTATTGTGTTTAATAAGCTTGTATTATGTGTGTAATTACTGTATTATTGTATTTTGGGTGCTGTGATTAGGTGTGCAATTACTGTATTCTTTACACCCGAGATATCAGGAGTTATTATAAGTGAATAATGTAAGTAGCATTAAGTACTGTTCATTACTACTTTATCCTTACTGTAAGTGTGAGTTATAACTATTCAGCCACATTTTATTTAAGGGTATCAATTATCATACTGTAAAACGTTTATGGTTCAGGATAATATTTAATGTGATTAGCGGAGTCTTTTCCTGCCCGTCATCGTCCAGTCATCCGATCATTCTTACTCACGGCTTCATCACCTTCTTAATAACTTGAGCCTTACTTTAGGTATAAGTACTGAGTATTTACCCAAGTTCTCTCTCTTAGGGATTTATTTCTTATTAATGAGTCTTGTTAATGTTTCATGTGTTGGTTTTGCTCTTTGCTGAAGCCTCCATACAACAGACTATTATCTCTACAGTATAGTCTGCATTTACGCGGTCAATTGAACCCGTGGAGGTCCGCGTAAATCGAGAAACGCGTAAACGACATAACAGAACATATGGGATTAATTGAAATAGAAACTGGGCCGACCCCCAAACTACACTTTTTCCGACACAATAGTACGTTGTAGTAAAAATAACATCTTAATTTTATGATGGTATGCACACACAATTAACATTTAAGAGAAATATCAATAATATTAGGTTTTTTAATACTTACGTTTGTAGAAAAGATGGCTGGACACACAGGGATGGGGGGTTGGTTCCGAGGCAGAGGGCAGATTATTGGCCCTCACCTGTATCAATTGTATCACTATCCACCACAGAGGCTTGCAGGGCCTCTTTGTCAAACCCCTCAAAGTTCATATCCTCACTATCACTGACTTGGGCTGGCTGTGGTGGGTGAAGAACTCGGTAATGTTTTGATGACTGGGCGACCTTGTGCGCACCCTGCCCGCGCCGCTTCCCGCGTAAATGACCAAATTTACCAAGTAATTAAAGCATTTACATTCTGGCAAGGCACCGCGTAAATGACCAAACGCATAAATGCAGATTATAATGTATATAGTTTGTTATATGGGGGTTTCACATCTCACGAACCCTTGATATATAGTCTGTTAAATAAAAGGTTTCACTGTAATTAAATTCTAAGATACAGTGTGTGTCTCTCTCAATAGCAGCTGTGTGTGTGTGTGTGTGTGTGTGTGTGTGTGTGTGTGTGTGTGTGTGTGTGTGTGTGTGTCCTGTGGTAAATACAGTGTGGTGAGATGATCATGCAGGGCGAGGACGTGAAATTGGGTAGAGTTTCAGACGTGACCTAGCTAAATAACTACTACAGTAACTACCTAACTTTAAGAGGGCATATAAAATGAACCCATAAGGAACGTGTGATTACAATATGTACTTTAAACCCATACCAAGTGACGTGGCCTTGGGCATGGGCATTTGGATTAAAAAAGTATTCCTGGTAAGGCTAGAGTTTCTCAATGCCCACCACAGCTAATAACCACCCCCCCCCCCAAGGTTCGCCACAGCACACCATCCCCTCAACAGTTTCAACGACCACTATCGCCTACTGATCTAACCCAACCAAAAACTCCCCCAAGAGACCCAGCAAGCACCTAACGGTTCAGATGATCATCGGATGGGGCGAGACTATGACACTCCCACTAAAATAACGCTATCACAAGGTCACATTAAGGACTCCCACTAAAATAACGCAATCACAAGGTCACATTAAGGACTCCCACTAAAATAACGCAATCACAAGGTCACACTAAGGCTACACACTGACCAGCGTCTATTTAACATTTATTTATACAACGCTGCGTCTACTTAACATTTATATATACAAAGCGTCTTCCGTATTCCTCGGCAAAATGTCCAATTGACACAGACGAGAGATTAAGACGTCCTTAGCAACAATGTCCCCTAGCCTAGCAACAACGTCCCCTAGCCTAGCAACGACGTCCCCTAGCCTAGCAACGACGTCCCCTGGCCTAGCAACGACGTCCCCTGGCCTAGCAACGACGTCCCCTGGCCTAGCAACGACGTCCCCTGGCCTAGCAACGACGTCCCCTAGCCTAGCAACGACGTCCCCTAGCCTAGCAACGACGTCCCCTAGCCTAGCAACGACGTCCCCTAGCCTAGCAACGACGTACTTTGACGACAGTGGATCTTTACCAACCTCAGAAAGTGTACTGTACTCAAACAATAATACAGTACAGTACCTGCACATTACGCCCCAACAAGACCTCCATATAACGAACTTCTCTCTGCATATAATCCGTTACATGGGGGGTTTCGCATCTAACGGACCCTCGTTATAACGGACTTTCATAATCTATATACAGTACAGTAGTTCATTAGACGGAGGTTTCACATCTAACAGACCCTCGATAAAATGAACTTTCCTCTCCACATTATCCATTAAATAGAACATTTCACTGTAAGATGAAAAAAAATAATATTAACAAATTAACAACAACAACAAATAAAAGCCCAGCCCCATGAGTTATATATTTAAAATTGATCACTCTGTATTAAATAGCTCTATCGAATAAACAACTTACACCCTCACCAGAATATAAAGTGAGATTAAGTAACGATAGCCATTAGAAAAATTCCAAAAACAATACAGCATTCATAAGCCTTCCGACCCGACACACAAGATGCCAATTTTATGACACATGTATGGTACTTCATGAACAAAAATTGACCTCCACATGTGCTCCGTCAATAGAACTATTTTGGAGGCTTGGTGTTAAAATAGGCTCGGACAATTCACGGTCACCCTCTTTATCTTCCGTCATGGTAAAACTTACAGTAATAATCAACTTCAAAATTTAAATGCAATACCATAATAAAAATATATAATAATAATAATAAACATCAACATTCAAACACATTCATCACCATTTCAACACATTCATCACCATTTCAACACATTCATCACCATTTCAACACATTCATCACCACTTCATCACATTCATCACCATTTCAACACATTCATCACCATTTCAACACATTCATCACCATTTCAACACATTCATCACCATTTCAACACATTCATCACCATTTCAACACATTCATCACCATTTCAACACATTCATCACCATTTCAACACATTCATCACCATTTCAACACAATCATCACCATTTCAACACATTCATCACCATTTCAACACATTCATCACCATTTCAACACATTCATCACCATTTCAACACATTCATCACCATTTCAACACATTCATCACCATTTCAACACATTCATCACCATTTCAACATACTCATAAAAACAAAAACACCGATGACTTACCAATTTGATGGCAACGTGCTCATTGTTGTACAAATTCTTTCCTGAAACGAGAAAAAAAATATATATGTCAATAATATAAACCAGAGAGATACATTAACACAACAACAGAGAAATGATACGAGCAGAGAATTTGAACGGGAAAAAATATAAACTTACCCGTAGCAGAGAATTTGAACGGGAAAAAATATAAACTTACCCGTAGTAGAGAATTTGAACGGGAAAAAATATAAACTTACCCGTAGTAGAGAATTTGAACGGGAAAAAATATAAACTTACCCGTAGTAGAGAATTTGAACGGGAAAAAATACGGAAAAAAAAACATCATATTCTCGGTAAAACTATTAGCTTACCTGTGTCATGTTAGCATTATCCACCCTTCTGCCTCCTCCCCCCAGATTATTTCACCTGATGATTAAATACCCTTATGCTACCTTGGGGTTAGGGTTAGGTTAGGTTAGGTTACAGTAGAATCGATTAGACTAGACTAGATTAGGTGACATTAGATTAAGTTACCATAGATTAGATTTCAGTGTGGTTAATTATCAGGTTAAATAAGATATCCAATTACCAACTGACCAAGATCACATCACAGAAACAACTACAGCTGGTCACACTGTAAGATAAAATAAGGATAACGAGCTACAAACGAGGTCCTCCAGTTACAGGTTTTATCCAATGACGTAGCAGTATCATGTAGGTTAAAGATACAGTAAGCAGGATAGACACACATACATGGCGAGTGAATAAGTGGGGGTAAACACTGATAAAAGTAAAGAATTAAATTACAGTATGACATTTCCCACATCACATGAGGAACCAGAGAGACAAACTAGAAACAATCTGGACTGGGATAATGGAAGTTTTGTAGAGAGGAAGAGAAGCCATAATAATTCTCCTCTCTGTTGCTACAAAGGTCAATGTAGAGCAATACTGTACTGTAGGTGTATAATAGAAGGTAAACTGTGTGCTGCTCCTAACAGGGCCGGGAAATGCTGCTGGACCGGTACAGTACGGTGCCCAAGGTCACCCAGGAAACCAAAACCCTCGGTGCAGGCTCCTCTGGTTAACATATCCAACCTGGTACCTGAGGCTTTACACATATGAGAGACTGAACATACAATGGTCTCCACACCAAATGGCTGAATATTGTTCCTTCTCATATCTAAGGCTTTAGGAATATAAAAGACTGACCACACAATGACCTTCACCAAATGACTGTATAGTGTTCCCATGTATTATAAGTGGCAAAAGCCCTAAGTTCTATACTACAGTACTGCACTGTCTTCTTCTCCCAACACTACAAGTCTTTCAAAACACAGGAAGCCCAAGAGACCCAAGCCCAAATTCTCCCAAGTTCCCAACATGGAGAAAGTGGTCACTCACTGGAAGACTCACCTTCAAGGTCAACCTTACCACTGTCCTCCCTCCTACCTACCTACGTTTACCTTTACCCTAAACAAGCAGTCAACTTGGTACATGTAAATAATATTGGAAGATGACCTTACCAGCTCTATGTGGCTTCCTTCCTGGCTGAGAACCTTATCACTGTGGGTGACACACAGAGGGAGCATCTTAGATACAAGGAAACGAGACAAACCCAAACCATTCTCACACTGAAACGGCACAACCAATAAATTGGACAAGGGAGACAGAGACCACTTATATTCTTCCTTGATATGACAATACTGTACGGTACAGCTTAGCAAATAGACAATGCAATAACCTCTACAAAGGCCACTACTTTATAAGGAAATACGACTCCCCAACTATCACAGATCATGTCACAGCCTCCTGACATCAAAGCAGCATTTGTGAGAGTCCCTAAACTAACAACAAACTTCTTGCCTCAATAAGGAGTAAAGATCACAATGCAACAAGGAAATACTGTATCTCTCTATATTATATTGCATACTGTATCTCTCTATAATATATTACATACTGTATCTCTCTATAATATATTGCATACTGTACATAAAGCAGTAAGTAACCAAACACCACATTCCCTAGCTAGCTAAACACAGGAAGATGGTGGGAAGCCTTGCCAAAATCCCTGAGGCCATATGAAAGCATCTCCAGTCTAACTAAACTGTAAGAAGGGACGACTATCTGAGCCTTGGATGGAAATAAGGTCAGAGCAAGACTCCATAACAACCCCAGTAACAGTGAGCACACACACACACACACCTCTACAACCTGACCCTCATACTAAGGAAACAAAATATAAATGTGGGGGCAAACCAAAGACCCAATTCTGGTTATCATTTGGGCTAAACTGAAACATAACACACCAAGTACAGCACAGTATACAGTACAGGATTTGTCAATAATTAAATTTCTGAGAGATATAACCAGTACTGTAGTGTTCATAACCTACAAACAACCATAATATATGTAGTATGTAAGGTAGGTGACCTCAAACTATGAGTGAAACAAGTGGGATGCTTGTAGTGTCAAGGAGAACAGTGACAATTAAAAGTAAATAAACCATTCAGTCCAATTTCCCGTAAAAACCTTGAAGCTGCTCTAACATGAAGTGTACAGTCACACATGGTGAAACGGTAGGCCTAATTTTGGAAATACAGTACAGTAGAGGGACATTTCACAGCAACATTACAATGACAGCAGCATTCTCCGACACTATACAGAACAACCCAACTTAGTAGCTCAGCCATAAATCCCCAGTTCTCCATATCTGTGACCAGGCTCTTTACATCATAAATGTAGTCGGCAGATGACTAAAGTATACGTTCTCTCGACACTCGTTGTAGCTGGAGGCACAGCTTATGGACAAGATCAGTCAAATGTGGAACAGTTTGCACAATAGCTGAGCAGCTTCCAGCCTTCACTGGCAGCTGGGGCTTCTCAGATCCCTTCTTGGGCAAGAGTTGTCCTGGAGAGCTAACAAACTCAAGACTACCCAAGCTACCAAGTTTAGGGTTTGCTGGGCCCAAACTCAAGGGATCTGGTGGTATTACATGACTCATACTACACTGGTGCCAAGTTATCAAACTAAGTACAGACCCGACAAACTCTGATGTGTGGGAGGAAGGTACCAGCACTGTACCTGTAAACAGGGAATGTACAATAAGCTTGTATATACAGGGGTTATGAACGGGTTTCGTTCCCGAGGATGTTCTTAAGTCGGATTTGTATGTAAGTCAGAACACATGCTATGTGCATACTGTACTTACAGAACAATGTTTAAAATCCCACTATATTATAGCATAAGTCCTTATATACATCTAAAATCACTTAATACAAGACAAAATAAGAAATAGAATGACAATATACAGTAAATGAAAGTAAAAAAATAAGTCATCAGGTTAATAAAATACAGTAAATTTCAAGTTTAACCCCGTTCATATCGGCGGGTATTCACAAGTCGGGGACCCCTCTACTATGCAATGCTGTATACAATATTACTTGTTCCAGATTTATAAAATAAAATTCTCTCATTCCTGGAGGTGAAAAAAAAAGAAAGAAAGAAGGAAAGAAAGAAAGGAGAGAGAGGGGGAAAAAAAGAAAAAAAAAGCATATCACGGGAAAATTAAAGCAATTCCAAGGAAGGTGTACAAGCATCAACACCCCACATTAAAAGTTCTGAATGAGAGCAATAAGAAGTGCAGTAAAGTACTCTCACAGTCTGTAATATTCTGGATACATATCCATCATGGTTTAGAATGAAACAATCTTGCCTACCACAGTCCCCTTATCACTATGAGAAAATATCAGTTCGAAGCACACGACGATAAAGCAAAATGTGAATACAATACGTAAAAACACACTCATGGTTCTGAAGACCGACTTTGGAGGTACCTTAACAACAAACAACGTTCCAGAGTTGTATATACAGAACCTGTAATGAATAAACTCAGGTGGTGGGACTAAAGAAAAGACAATAGCACATTCATCCAGTCATTATTACCAGGGAACCCAAAGCATCTCAGGGACTTCTGCATCACACTCACACCTGGTATCTGATAAGAGTCATTTACAACCCACCACTCACAGATGGCACCACACTCGTTACACCCCATCTGGGATATTAATCGAGTTTTGCCACGGACGGCGCAAAATAATGGTATCCAATGGCAATACCGTAAACTTGAAATCTCCTTCCGTCATTCTCGTCTAGTCTTCAAGCTGTAACACATTTTATTCCCGGTATATTAAAATAAGGTTTACCGTACCTCTGTGTCAATCAGGGGAGAGAATACATACAGTGTGCCATCTCCATATACTACAGTAGGAAAAACAATGGTGACTTTCCTGTATTAAAAACTCACCCAATATCTTTTATGCCTATGTTATGGTCTAGGACTCTGGGTATATATTTTTGTGGACCATAAAGCTTAAAGGGTTTTTTATTTAAGCTTTCATGTGTTTCTATGCACAGTAACTATGTAATTTGCTCAATTTTGTGGGCAATAAACTTACCTATCAATCTATAAATCGACCTATCTATGTTTCTACTCTAGCTCTCTGCATGCCCCCTATAACCTTCCTGTAGACGTAGGAGCCCCAGGTGTCTAATATTATTTTCTGGCCTCCACCTTCAAAATAAAGTGCCTGGACCACAGATGAATGCATTATATAAGTCCCATAATGATGCAAAAGTATAATGCTTCTGGTATACTATAATAACTATAGTACATACAGTATACTTTAGTGCCTCCCAAGTCTGGTCATTAATGGACAAGATGGAAGCAGAGATCTTAACCCCTCGAGTGAGATGACTTACCCCCCTTGCAATTACCTCACAATGTGGGTGACAGTTCCAGCAATCGAGATAATTCAAGATGATTATTAATGGCCTACATGAGTTATATTTAACATCTACACTACAGTAGTTGAAAGCTTGAAAGGACTCAAAGTATATTTCCCTGTGTCTATGAACCAAGATGTACGGGATTAGTTATATACTGTACACACCGGGAGATGTTATGTCAGAGCACACGGCAATAGTTCCCCGGTGAAACAAGACAGAGACAGACAGACACAGCACTATGAGAAAAGGTCACCAACCTTAACTGAATCAATA